TGCCTCCTTCCTGGATACAACTGAAGGTATCTTTCTGCAGCTTCTCCACTATTTCTGTTACATTTTATGTACACATCGTACATATCTTTTTTCTCACTTCTACTGTAACGAACCATATTTTCAATACCCTAATTAAAAATGCTTTTATCCGATACCAGACTGTCAAATATACAACAATAAAATGTGACATGCCAGGTTAACTTGATTTAAATTTATCTGTATAATAATCAAGACGTGTTGCTAGATATACAATTATTATTGTAAGTAGGTATCTATCTGCAGTTTGTTAACTTTTTCTTTTTTATACTATGAGGAACCATATCAGTTTAAAAAATCTGATGTGTCCAACACATGACTTTCCTATCTAGTTATTATAGGCATTTTCCGGTTATTTTGTACAACCTATTGCAGCATCTCTATAAATGTTTAGAGGATAAACTAAATATATACATTTTACACATACATCTACCTCGAAACATTTTTCTATAGATATTCATTGAAAACGAAAATACAGAAAAATTTAAATTTAGCACTTTTCCATTACGGACCATTTTAGAAAAATCATGTATAAACAAAAATTATAGAAATCGATATCGCAAACAACTTTTAGTTCAACAATTTTCATAAAAATCAGAATTTTGCACATTTTGTCAAATTTCTCGAATACGGACAATTTCAGGAAATTTTGACATAAAACAAAAATTATAGATAATAATATTAGAAGTAACTTTTATTTGAACAATTTTCTTCTCCAAACATAAATAACAGATATATTCCATAAAATATAAAAACGGCCTCCCATAAAGTACCCCCCCAGATGTTCCAACTTTGTCCAAAATCTAATCATTTCACGTCAGGCCGAAATAAACCTTAAGTTTAAAATTTAATGTTTTTTCCTTTATCCGTTTTTGAGTTTTCTTCAAATTTCGAAATTTACACATTTTCTCAAATATCTCGAATACGGTCCATTTTAGAGAAATTATGTATAGGACAAAAATTATAGAGAATTATATTACAAACAACTTTTGTTTGAACAATTTTTATAAAAAAAAATATTTTTTTACATTTTGTCAAATTTCTCGAATACGGACCATTTTAGGAAAATTTTGCATAAAACAAAAATTATAGATAATAAAATAAGAAGTAACTTTCATTTGAAGAATTTTCTTCCCCAAACGTAAATAACAGATATATTCCATAAAATATAAAAATGACCACCTATAAAGTACCCCCCCAGATGTTCCGACTCTGCCCAAAATCTAATCAGCTCATTAGACGTTGGAACAAAGCTTAAGTTTGAAATTTGGTGTTTTTCCGTGTATCGGTTCATGAGTTATGCGTTATACAGACACACACACAGACACACACACACACACACACACACAGACACACACACACACAGACATCATCGCGAAAATAGTCAAAACGGATTCAGGGGACCTCAAAATGTAAAAATCCGTCGAAAACTCGAGGTCGAAAAAAATCATGATTCCTATACTTTCCTTATATCTGTATACAGATAGGAAAGTAAAAATCCAACAAAATATGACAAATCAGGCTAACTTTATGTATTTAAAAATCGGGATGTACTTTATTTATAGATTAATATTGGGATTGGTCAAGTGCAAAAACCATAAAAATGGAAAATATTTTTTAGCAAATGTGTAAACGAACATGTCTTGATGTAAAGTTAAAAGTTTGACTTTGGTATTTATTATTTATAATCTCTTACAACGATAATACATCATTTACTAATTCAAATATTTTTAACTAACAAAACACAGGTCCGTACTTGTAAAATTACCTGATGATGTTCAAATCTTCCGAAATGTTGACTAATCACAATATGTTATTACATCATTGTATTCAACATTGAACATGCATTAAAATTATGAGCCAGGAAAATATTGGTCCATATTCAAATAAAGAAGTTGATGGTGGTCCTGCATTTACGAAACGTCGGAAAAAAAAACTAAATACGCTATCATACGCACAATTTGATATAAAACAAAAAACTCCAAATGAGTTTTTGTCTATTTTTGCAAATAAACGTTCTGTAGCGGAATAAAGAAATGGTTCTTATTTGTTTTTTATCGAATATCTCGGAAACCGGACCTGATATTTTAGTTTTCAAAACGCCCTCAGATTGGACTTCGAAATATGCAACTTTTTCCCCATTTAACCAACTTTGTGTTACCAACGGTTTACGAGATAGCAATACATTTCAATGAAAAAGTGGCCACCCTGTATAACATGTACTTTCACCATCCAGTAAGTGTTCGTAATATTATTTATCATGTCAGGTTCAACTTTTAGTGGTCACCTTCACACATCCTTTAACGACGAATACAATAATTTAACGATTTTCCTTTATTTTTGCGCTTTACAAAGAATCTTAAATAACGTGTTTACATCGGCACCACACTATATTTAATGGTTAATGATGTCTATCAAAACGACACAAATGCGGGTATACGTATTATTATTAAAATATAGAGAGTTGCAATTAAATTACAATGTTATAGTAATTTTCGGCCACAAGCGATTTAAGAATGCATCATACTAGGTATGCGAATAACGAATAACTTAATGTACCTATAACTTACGATTTAAGAGCTTGAAAAGTGAATTTAAGGTATAACTACCTCGTTTATGAAATTATTGTTATTATAGACTCGTGGTGTTCTTACTACTTTAATGGGGACATTCACTCCGATATCAGAGAGAATTACCTTAATCATCTTAACCATCTCAAGGCTTATGTGTAGTATGCCCAGACCATATCCAGTCCAGTGTATACATTTCAATAGAAGATGTGGTGATGCTAATGTAATATTAAATACCCGTAACGAATGTTGTATGGCGTAAATACTCAAGACTCAGTACCATTCTTTCTTTATAAGAGTCATCAAAACATGCACAAATCTTAGAATTGGTGGAATATGTGTCCACTGCAAAAGAGAGTTTATGAAAGGACCATCACCAAAATTCATCACACTCAGTTACTAATCCAGAATATATGCAATAATTAAGAGTAGACTTATTACGAGGACTATAGGCTTAGAAAGTACATGTACATCGACCATCGACCTGACAGAATAGACTGCCGATTTTACAAGAAGTTTCATAAAAGAAGAGTTACTTCCTAGGCCGTGGAGTCTATTAGATAATTATTTATTGTTTCGGCCTTTACTTGATGAAAATCCATTTTATCTTGAATGAGTTAAACCAAATTTGGTAGATTTTCACAAAACTTTTATTTTAAAAAATAAAAAATAAAAATTAAAAACACTACACATGACATGTTTCGAAGTACAACTTCTTTTTATAATTAATTAATTTTGATTTTCAAGTCTACCGGCATAACCATAAAACACTAATTGGACTAAGGGTCATTCGCACCGGCACTAGTTAAGAAATAAGCAAATCTTAAGATAAAATTGTCAATGGAGAAATGTCATTTTCAGCTTGGCTTATTTCTTAACGACTAGTAGTGCAAATGGACCTGAATGTGGTTATACCGACCGGTCCAAGATTGAATGGTAGTGGATTTGATATTATTTCTAAAGACTAACCAATCAGGCTAGAAAAGAAGAAGATTTCTAAACCCTCAACAGCACAAGACTTACACAATAATCGTCCCACTTTGGGAATCAAAAAGGTACATGCTGCGAAATTGTCTGTGCCTCTTATTTTTTTTTCTCCAATATATTTGGACATTCAACGGTAATACCACAAAAGGTGAGAATTTGTCTCATCTCATGTGGTATTTGAAAAGATTATTTAACAATATAAACAAATATAATCTTCAGATTTTACTGTATTTTTTTTATATACTTTCTTGAACACTTTGATCTATTGAGTTAATATTTAAACAACCAAAAATATTTTTGTTCATATTCGTCACCTTTTTGACAACTTTTATATTGACGTTTCGTATAAATCATTGATACGTTATGGTATTGAATTGATTTTTTTATAAATCAACTATAATATCACTAGGTGAGAATTTTTTGAGAATGTTTTGTTGTTTCTTTGAAAATTTGCATAATCTGAAAAGAAACAACAAAATGTTCTTAAAAAAAATTCTTACCTGGCGTGGTGTTTGAAAATATTATTTAACAATATAAACAACAAAACTTTTATTAATCACATTTGCTTTGTTTCCATAAGATGAAGTCGATTCTGTATTTAAAATGTATATTTAAATAACGAAAACGATTTTTGTCCATTTTTCGTCACCTTTTTGGTAAACTTCACATTAACGTTTTATATAAATCATTAATACGTTACTTTAGTGATGAATTGAACATTTTAAATCCAACCTTTTTGATAAACTTCACAATGACGTTTCGCAAAAATCATACTCTGGTAATAAATTTCTTCTTCTTTATTCTTTTATTGGGCTATGTTCTGAAGAACAATTTACCCAGACAACTCATAAGATTCCAGAAAACTATTCACAAAAGTTAATATTAGTGTTAACTGATGTAAATAGTTTTAATTTAATTTTTTAAATTCAATCGGGATTGAGAGAAATCTCTGCAACGTTTTCAGATACAGTTTGTGCTGATTGGTGTCTCTCGGAATAAAATATAGTTGCCATTGGTTGATATATATTATAGCGTTAAATTATCAACACAACTCATTGAGTATCGTGGTAACTACATTAAAAAATCAATCAAGATTTCTTCAATTCTGAGAAAATCTATAATTATGTTGCCACTGTTTTCTCCCTTTAATGAACTTAACACTATAGAATTATATTTCCCTATCAGATTTTGCATAAATTCATTATAAATAATGTATGCAAGCTGTTACTAATTGTGTTCGTTTGAATTAGTGGTATACAAAATGATATTTAAAATAATGGAATCCCACAAACCGTGACCATTAATATATAAGGAAAGGTTCTCGTTTTAACGAGTAGATCACCGTTCATGAATTATGTATCTTTATAATAAATCCATTATCATTAAATGCGTTTTCTTTATTTGCAGAATCGCCTGCGGCTTCCGCCGGATCGGCCGATAACACTCTACCGGTCGTTTTCGAAACTACGGAAGACGCCACTTTGAACAATTTGACGAGGACCGATGTGAATTGCGACAAAACTGGTACCTGTTATGATGGTAAGCAAATTTTTTTATATTTGGTAATATCATCTGTGTCGTTCATTGTAAAAATAAATTATGTTCCTGCAACGAGCTTTTTGTAAAATGATATGCAGAAAAACAAAAAGAAACTACCTGTTAAAAGATTACAATTTTTTATTTTTTATTAATTTATATTATTACTTATTTATTAGAACCCCACGTGAAGCATTTACGTTTATTACAATCTAACCATTAAGATCAATTAGCAATTTAAAAACTTCATAAACTATAGTTTTACTTATTATTGTACTTTAAAGTCTAATTATTTAGTTACCTACCGTTAACGTATAACAAACACTTACCCACACTATACGCTGCTTTTATCTAACATAACTGAACCAACTCCAAAGACTTGATTGTTTTGAGTCTTCTTATTAGATTGGCGTTATTGAGGAGCTGTCGGAGCTATTAGAACAGTCTTTGTTCGTGACTACGACGAGTCTATTGTATTTTTAACAGTCTTCACCTTAAGGTCCCTCTGAAGATCAGTATTGCGGTAGTACCAAGGTTTATCAACGATGTTTCTTAATACCTTATTCTAGAAACGTTAAATAACTTGCATGTTACTTTTACTGATACAACCCCAAAACTAGATGCCATAGGTCCATACGGGTGTCAATATTTATCTATAACGGAGCAGTTTATTTTTAGTGGATAATTCTGAGTTTTTCCTAGCAACCAATACATTATTTTGTAGTTTACGACTATACCGAGCTCTTCAAGCTTTTTTTTATTATGGACTTTCCAGCGAAGTCTAGCATTACCCAGATATTTTGCTTCATTGGCATAAGGAATCTAAGTGTCGTTTATTCTAATGGGAATATATTCATTTTGTTTATTGCTGAAGTTGATATGGACAGATTTGCCTTAATTCAATTTATTTCGACATGTTTTCGTCCAGGTGTTAATCTAGTATATAGATTTTTGCAATTTTCTATTAGCGTCTTCATGATTTTTCCAACAGCCAGGGATTATAGTATCATCAGCAAATGTTGCGATAATATTGTGCTCAAGTATAAGAATATCTCTGGTATACAGCAAGAAGAGTACTGAACTTAGTACACTACAGCGACGTTGCCACAACGCAAAATAAAACTACAGTAAAAATCTGAGAAACCGGTATTTCGGTTTAAGGGTAAACAGTGCTGTTCCTAAAGTGTCGCTGGGAAACAGTAATAAATCCTACACAAAACACGAGAAGAAATAACCATAGCAGTTGAAGCAGATGACACACAAAAGAAAAACCTTCTTTCCAAAGTGGCGTTTCTAAAGAAATGTGACCACAACAAATATGTTAATAATATTTTAAAAACATGTCTTCACATGCGGCATTTTTTTCTAATTTTAAAATCGTTAAACTTCAAAATCGCTTATAGGTAACATTATTTTCACGTAAATTGGCTATTTTTAAGAAATATTTAACATCAAAAAAGTCAATGGTTTAATGAACATCATTCTAACGTCAATATTTAATTAATTCATTTTTTACAAACAAAAAATGGTCATATTTTGTTAATGTTCTTTACAGAAAATAATGTGTTTGGCTCTCTAATTTAGCAAAAAATAAATTTAGTGTCTAATTATTTAAAAATATCTGCCACATTATACACAAAATATTAGCCATTAGTTTCTATAATTAATTAGTTTGTACCACTTAAAACTCGTTTTGAAAATAAGCGCCATCATGAAAATAACGTTAAATGTTCCGTTTCAAAATTCCATACGTATTTCTCATAACTTTCTTTGATCTAAAACGAACCACATGCTTCTCGTTAAATCTGTCACATTACTTTGTACATTTAAGCAAAAATTCGCTTATTTTAAATTATTCTGCTCTCGCAACGATGTTTTTTTTTATAAACAAGATCACCAGGTGAGTCAGTCTTCAAGACACTTTACGACTTCCTTCTGTATTCTGTGATCGTCATCAAAGTATCCACCTCCATGAATTGCATTTTAAAACGTTAAATGTACCGACTATCACAGAAACCAGGAGAAATTAGAGGCGTATCTATCTAGGGATAAAGAGGGAATGAATAATGTAATGACAATACCATAAAGTTATGCTAATAAAAAGAGAAAAGCGGATTTTTTATAAACTAATATACAGAGTGTTCCTAACTGACGTGCTTATGTTTTATGGTGTGATTCCTTAGGTCATTTTATGAAGAAAAGTTTATATGAACATATGTTTGCAACGTCTTGAATTTTTGCTATAGGGTGTTGAAAAAATAGGTATTTGTGTACCCAGGCCGTAAAGTTGATTTTTTTAGCCGAATCAGAAATTTGCCTGAGCCAACTTCTGGTAAGGCCAAAAAAGATCATACGGCCGAGGTTTACACAAAATTATCTGTCTCATCAAGTAGCCAATATTTTTTTATCATGTTTTTGAAAAGAGACTTAAATGCCAGAATTGTTTCAAATTTTTATTGGTCGAATAAAATTCCATCGTTAACTAATAAAATTTGTACGGAATTACAAACGATAAGTATGATAAACTTTTGTATATAAAAAGCGGCCGTAAAGTAAATGCAGCCAAAAAAGTGTCACTTTAAAGCAGCCGAAAAGTAAATGCGGCCAAAAAAGTGACACTTTGGTAATGTAAATAAATCGTAAAATGTATTTTTTTTGAGTTTCCTAAAAAAATTGTTTAAAGCGTTATTTTTAAATATATCTGAAAGTATTTTAGATATTATTTTTAATTTTGTTATGAGTTAATTGGATATTAAACCACATATTTAAATTAGAAGTTATTCTATTGTTCCACCAGTGGCGTCCCAGCAAACATATCCTCTGATATTTTTAGAAAAAAACATTGTACGCCACTGATAATGTTCTATGTTAATTTTTTTTTATTCGCCTTGTCAATTCTAAATGAAGACCGTATTCTTTTTACTCAGATTAAAATAAAAACCTTAATTAAATTAAAATTACAACTCATCATGGTTATTTTAGGTAAATTATCTCTCTGCTAGACATTACATTAAATTAGATTAGAGTTCAGCGACCTCAACCTTTTCAGTTCTATTGCAGATTGCAGGGACTCCGTTGTTACGTCTAGCTTGGTCATTTTGTAGATAAGGAAAGTATAGAAATCATGATTTAGTATCTTTAACAGTGACTCCCGCATGTAGTTACATGAGCCTGACTTATCTCCATCTAGTATTAGGCTAGACCCTTACACTGGCATAGGACGTGATTTGTTGTTTCCTCTTCTTCTTCTTCACCGAACCTGCACAATTTTTCTTTTTCTGCTGGATTGACGACACTCATGTTGATTCTTAGGCGACAGTTTTCTAATGATTTGTCGTTTTTGATCCAGTAGATATTTCATGAACTTGGCCGATGCCTCCCTAATGAACTATTTATTATATTTCAAAACCTGGATAGTTGTTCCATCTTTCCTGACTTCTTCCACCTTGCACAATGCCTTAGCATCTTCACAGAAGAGTTCGGGGCCTATCATGGCCTTATCTGAGCCTACTCGGGCTAGTTCTTCGGCTTTTTCATTGACCATTCGCCGCTTAGTAAGGTTTTGACTATTTAGCTCTGTGAAATCTTTCACCAGTCGTGATTTGGCTATTGGTTTGGCCTGGCGCGTATTCTCTTAGACTCGTTGTTTTTGACCAAATATTCCTTCTTTAGTTTCTGAAGCGTCTGTACACTAGACTAGTTCAGCCTGTATAAAAGGTACCTGTTTCCAGGATTTATGAGCTGGTATTTGAATTTAACAATTTCTTTCAAATTTGTATATGGTTATGGATATATTGGTAGGCATTCCTAGAATCTTTTATTCTTTCTTACTTGCTGGTACAGCCTTGTATGATCAATGCTATGTAGTTAGCTTATTGGATTTTGTACTTACATTGGCCTGTGAATAAGAAACCTATTTTCCCCTTGTATGAATATATGCAGTGACATGAGCTTTAATAGTACCTCCATTTCTGCAGCAGTTGGTGTAGTACGCATGGCTCCTGTGGCACTCTTGACAAACAACAGAGAATGCCGGTAAGCTGGCCTATTGCACTCGCCTCCGCAGTTTTTATTACCCACCCCACTGCGCTATAAGTTCTCAGGGACCTTATCACCTTTGTGTATAGCCGTATGATCATTTTTTGACCCTAGTTTTTAGGAGAGCTATTTTATGCAAGTTTTTGAGATGTTGATTCAAGCCTTTGCTCAAATATAACTCTGTGATAAATGGCTCTGATTAACAGGGCAATAACTTATTCGGCATGTAATTTAATTGCTATGGTTGAATAGATGACCTGTTTATTGTTATTATTATTAATTATAAATTTTTGTTTTATTAAAATTGTTTGAAGTGCTTTACATTCACCTAATAGATATGCTTTCCCACATGTACTCATCGAACTAAAATGGTAATGGCAGTTTTATACATCAGAGTTTTAATAAGATTACCACATAAAAAGAAATCCAAACTATTCAGATTGGAGGGTCTTGCTGGCCATTGCGGAGGCTTTTGTAATTTTACAAGCACTCAATTAGATAAAAAGCTATGGAGAAAGCAAATCGGTTATTCTTTCAGACTCGAAATCTGTTTTAGTTTCAATTTCTAACTATTCCTGTAATATAAACAAAAATCCTATTATAGGAGAAATTATTCAGTCTCTCCTTACTCTTCATAATTCTAAACTCAAGATCGTTTTTATCTGGGTTAAAAGTCATAAAGGGATAGTTGGAAATGAAAAAGTCGATTTAGCTGCTAAAGAATCCATTCTTTTTCCAACTATTAGTAATATTCATTCTCCGCAGGATATTCATGCAATGAAACGAAATGTTAGATCAAGCTCGGAGAAACTTTGGGAACACTTTTTTTCTTATTCAAATAACCCATATATATTTATTCACCCTGTTCTTCCAAAATCTATTCCCCACATTACAAATTTTAAAATGTCTAAGTATTATTGTACGACTTTAACAAGGATGAAACTAAATCATGGGGGTTTTCCGTC